GAGGATCTGGTATTGGGCGAGCAGATTGGCCGGGTGAGTGCCACCCCACGACCCCCCTTACCACCTGCGTTTTCCCAGTCCTGCACTTCCTACAGGCCCCACCCAGCAGAGAGCCTTTGCCACCCTGCCTCAGCCTGACTCACTGCCCAGCCACCACCATACATAACCCTCCAGGAGGCCCGGTGACAAGTGCCCACCCTGAGAACTCCCGGGAATGGCTCTGCCCAGCACCCGCCCCCACCCACTACGTTGGGCCCTGCCTCCCCCAGGTATTCCTGTCTGTGCTGGAAGCCACACTCTGCTAATAGACGCTGTAATTTCTATTAGCGGAAGGTCTCAGGGCTCCACAGACAGTTTGGGCTCGACCACGAACCTAACGTGGTGGTTTGAAGCCACTCTGCAGTGCCACAGAAGAAAGGCCTGGCAGTCTGGTTCCATAAAGATTAACCCAACCAAACCCAGCCCACTGCCATCACACCAGTTCTGACTCCGAGTGAGCTTTTCTGGATTTTCCAGACTATCGCTTTTTACGGGAGCAGACCACCTCCTTATTTTCCCGTAGCGCGGCAGCGGCTGGTGGGTTTGAACCACTGGCCTTGTGATTAGCGAGTCCCCATGCTTAACCCGCAGCTCCACCAGGGCCCCTTTCCGTAAAGTCTATTGCTAAGGAAGTCCTATGGAGCAGTTGTGCTCTGTACCGCCCGGGTCAGCAGGAGCTGGAACTACTAAACGCCAACAGGTCTGGCTGGTGGTCCGTGCTTCTCACGCTCAGGTGCTTGAAGTCCCGTCTGGCTTTGTGACTCTTCGCAGTGAGTGTGGGGGGAAGAGAGAAGGGCTTTTCTCTGCCCACCGTGGGCATTGTCTTGGACCCCTAGCCACCAGGTGTGAACCAGCAGACAGACAGGGATGGCCGGTGCTGAGCTTGGGGTCAAGCAGCGATGAGCTTGGGACGAGGTGGGCCGTCCCCTGAGCTGAGAGAATGTAGGAGCTGGGCCTGTTTCAGGGAAACTTCGGCGAAGTGTTCAGTGGACGCCTGCGGGCTGACAACACCCTTGTGGCCGTGAAATCTTGCCGAGAGACGCTTCCCGCTGACCTCAAGGCGAAGTTCCTGCAGGAGGCGAGGTGGGTGATATGATGCTCCTATGGGGTACTAAGGAGCCCTGGTGGTTGGGTTGCGATCCGTGTGGTCGGCAGTTCAAAACCCCCAGCAGCTCCGATGAAGAAAGACTGGGCTTTCTACGCCCACAAACAGTTGTCGCTGTCTGTGCTGGAAGCCACACTCTGCTAATAGACGCTGTAATTTCTATTAGCGGAAGGTCTCAGGGTTCCACAGGGGGTTGCTAGGAGTCAGCCTCGACTCGCTGGCCGTGAGTTTGGTTTGGTTCGTGGGGTACTAGGAGCCCTGATGGTAGAGGGGCCTGTGCCAAGTCCGCAGTTCCAAACCAAGCTCCATAAGGGGAAGCTGAGACTTTCTACTCCCACAGAGAGTTACAGTCTTGGAAACCCACAGGGGCAGTGGAACTTTGACCTAAAGAGTCTCTTTGAGTCGGAATCGACTCGATGGCAGTGAATGGCTGCCTCCAGTCATGGTCCTCGTGGTCCTCATGGCTGCAGGGCCCTCCCCTACTTGGGACGGAATGGAGGGACAGGCTGGGGGAGACCCAGTGAGCCGCCTGAGGGCTTGCACCCCAGACTGCTGGCCCCAGACGCCAGCTTCTTCTGTTGCCCGTCTTCGCCCTGGGGTGCCCAGGGTGGGGGTGGGGGCAATGTGCAGGTCCCAGAGGTGGGAGCAGGCCACATGGCGCCTAAACAGCAGGGCCCCACAGGATCCTGAAGCAGTACAGCCACCCCAACATCGTGCGCCTCATTGGGGTATGCACCCAGAAGCAGCCTATCTACATCGTCATGGAGCTGGTGCAGGGTGAGCAAGGGGGCCGGTCTGCAGGGGTGGGGGACCGCAGCCTGCCAGGGGGTGCCCCGGAGGACACTCAACAGGACGCCTCCTGCTCCTAGGGGGCGACTTCCTGACCTTCCTCCGGACAGAGGGTGCCCGTCTGCGGATGAAGACGCTGCTGCAGATGGTGGGGGACGCGGCAGCCGGCATGGAGTATCTGGAGAGCAAATGCTGTATCCACAGGTGAGTGCCTGCCTGTGGCCCACTTACCTGAGTCAGGACGTGCCCTCGACGTGGGGCTCCTGGCACCTCCTGCCCCCTGACCACCGGGCATCAGGTGGAGCTTGCCTCTCCCTTGAGGTTCCGCTTGTGGCCCAATTCACAGTGCTCAGATCAGGTAGGTGCCAGGGCTTGGTGGCCACTGGCTGAAGGAGCCCCCTGCCCTGCCTTGTCCAGGGACCTGGCGGCTCGGAACTGCCTGGTGACAGAGAAGAACGTTCTGAAGATCAGTGACTTTGGGATGTCCAGGGAGGAATCGGATGGCGTCTACGCAGCCTCAGGGGGCCTCAGACAAGTCCCTGTGAAGTGGACCGCCCCTGAGGCGCTGAACTACGGTACCTGCAGTGTGTGTGTGTGGTGGGGCAGGCATGGGTGCTGCCCCCTAGTGGTGTTTCGTCAGTCTCCTAAGGCTGCCCAAACAGAATGCCACGGTGTGGGTGTCTTCAAAGCCCAGTAATGGACCATCCCAGAGCTCGGGGCTGGGGGTGGGAGGGCTCACAGTCCAAAGCAAGGTCTCAGCCAAGTCAGGTGTCAGGTCTGTCTGCGGACTAGGGGGAGGAACATTCCGTGCCCCTCCCCTTGCTCCTCGTGGCTGCCATCAACACGACGTGCTTTTGCTGCTTGAAGATGCGTCTTCGGATGGCAGCACCCAGTGTGTGGCTCCGTGTCTACCCTCCTTCCTCCTGAGATGCCAGTCATGTGGGGCGAGGGCCGCCCAGCTTCAGTGCGGCCTCATTGACTTCCAGGACCAGCTATTCAAAGGAAGGCCCTATTTCCTCAATAAAGTCCCATTCACAGGCCCGGGCTTGAGGCCCTGCTCATATCTGTCTGGGGCACAGCTCTGCCCACCATAGCCATAAGGACAAGCCACGGGGATGGCTGCTCATGCCCGCTTGCTTCCTCTGCAGGCCGCTACTCCTCCGAGAGTGACGTGTGGAGTTTTGGCATCTTACTCTGGGAGACCTTCAGTCTGGGGGCCTCCCCGTACCCCAACCTCAGCAACCAGCAAACTCGGGAGTTTGTGGAAAACGGTAAGGAACCAGAGCCTCTTCCTGGGGTTCCAGCCAAACTCTTTGTGGTCCCCCAGCCTTCTATGTTCCCTCTGGGGCAGAATAAGACTACTGGCTGTGGCCACTGCTGACTGAGTGCCTACTATGTGCTCGGTCACACGCCAGTTCTGTTACTCCTCATGCAGGTGAGCTGGAGACTCGGATGCCCTTCTTAGAGATGGGGAAACTGAGGCTTGCTCACAGTTGTTCCCGGGGGCTGGCATGGGCCCTCACTTGGGATATGCTGTGCCTGCCTCCACAGGGGGCCGCCTGCCCTGCCCCGAGCTGTGCCCCGATGCCGTGCGCAGGCTCATGGAGCAGTGCTGGGCCTACGAGCCTGGGCAGCGGCCCAGCTTCAGCACCATCTTCCAGGAGCTGCAGAGCATCCGGAAGCGCCATCGGTGAGGGGAGACCCGCCTCAGGCCCGCAGCCTCTGCTGGCAAGACTGTGGCCCCTCACTGGCTCCAGCTTGCCTCACTGGACGGTCGCGAATTCCTAGGCGCCCGTGCCTGGCAGGCTGTTCAGTGCTGCCAGCAAGGACGTTGCTTCTGTCTGCTCAGCCCCCTGCTCCTGCCAGGGCTTTCCCTCCAAGGCAGAAATAATAAAACCACTTGTGCCCACCGGCTGCTTGGCATGTGTGCTGCAGGGCCCGTACCGGGGCCACGGCCGGGATGGTGGATTCGGACCGGGTTTATGGGGCAGAGCTGATGGGCTTTGCTAGCCAGGTGGATGTGAGAGATCAGGGTGATATACAGGCTTTGTAGGTCGCAGGGCCACAGCAAGCAGAACAGAGCAGCTGGAGGATGGGGAGCCGGAGGGGCCCGTGAAGGCGCAGGAGGAACCCTGGTGGCGCTGTGGGTGAGGCCTCGGGTGCTAACGACAAGAGAGTGCCGCCGCGTGGATTGGAACTCCCAACTTCGAGGCCGACCATCAAGTGCAGGCCCTTTGTACCACCCAGGGACCTCCACAAGTTCTAGGGTTCTCGCTCCGCTTTTTGAAAACATGCCAGTTAGGTCCTAAACGTTGTCGAAGGGATGGCCGGTGGCCCTCCGAGTCCCTACTGCCATGAGCCGTAGACCTCCGGGGTCTGCAGACTAGCTCATCTCTGACCTGCACTGCCGCTGTAGATTTCGCTGGGAGTCCAGGGGGGAGGCAAGGGCTTCCCACGGGGCCCCCACCGCCCAGCAGATTCAGGAGAAACACCCTGGGAGCATTTTCGTCCTCCCCAGCCACCTGCGTCTCCTGTGAGTGGCTCTTGCTCGTTGCATTCTGGATCTCGAGTGACTGTCATCCCACCCCTAGTGTGGAGCCTGTGGGGGCGAATGCCCTTCCAACCTCCAGCACCCTCACACCCACATGCACACCTCCACCCCCAAATCCAACCCAACCCACAGCCGCCCAATTCCGACTCCTCATAGCAGTCACCCTTTGGGACAGAGATGAACTGCCCCATAGGGTTTCCAAGCCTCTAGGTCCTTAGGGTGGCAAAGGGCCACATCAGTCTCCCACAGAGAAGCTGCTGGGTTTGAGCCACTGACCTTTTGGTTGGCAGTCAAGTGCTTCAACGCCATGCCACCAGGACACCTGTAACCAATAACTAGATGCATTTCAAGGAGGGAATCTTCCCAAGAGAAGCTGGTGGGAGGAGGGTCCTTTCTTGATTTTGCTGTTTCACTAGTTTTCTTGGCCTACACGTCGCATGCACAATTGAATCCTTCCATCAGATTAAGATGTGTGCAATCACCGGCGCAAGACAAACAGCTTGTTGTTTGTTTGGTTTGAGATGAACTTGTTCATCACCGATTCATTTTGCATTTGAGCACCACAGTCCCTTGGAACGTTCTTTCTCTCTTGGGCCGTTTACTGACCTGGGACAGCACGGGGGATCTGACTTACCTATGCAGAGAGACTCGATTGTGGAAACGAAGGAGGAGCAGCTCTGGGCAAGTTTGAAGATGCTACAGATTGGGCACCAGAGGAGCCCACCATGCCAGTCCTGTTTTTCCCATGGGACAGTGTGTTCTGGGGCTGGGGGGGACTGGGAAGGGACCAGGCTAGACACACAGGCTCCACAGGTTTGAAGTGTTTAGAGGACAAGGAACCTAAAACACACTTCTCTCCACCAAGATGCTCACCCGCTTGCCAGGGTTTGTACCTGTGTGGGCTGGGAGGCTAACGGGCGGCCCTCAGCATCTCTGCAGAGCAGATCTTCAAAGGCTGAGGGGGACAGAATGGTGGGGCTTCCCATCTAAAATTCCGGAGAGGCACTCCTGAAGGGCCAAGGCCATCCAGAGAAGGGTGCACTTTTACCAGGATTAACTCTGCCCTAAGCAACCTAGCTCAGTGCTTGACTAAGCTGCAGTGAGCTCCTCAGGGAACCACCCACCCTTTTACATTTGATGTGTGACTCACTCACTGCCAAGGGGTCAATGCTGACTCAGAGCAACCCCCTGTGGGTTTCCAAGACTGTTTACAACGGGAGTAGAAAGCCCAGTCTCTCCGTCACAGCTGACGGTGGTTTCAAACTGCCGACCATGCAGATTACAGCCCAATGTATAACCACTACACACAAGCACACACACGCACACAAGACAAAACACACACACACAAATTAATGAATGGGAGTGTTACATGAGAGGGGAATAGTAGAAACAGACTCACAGATGATCCAGATCGCAGAGCAGCAGGCACAAATTTTAAATAGAAAAAAGAGGAGCCAAATAGATGCAAAAATAAAAAATTTCAACAAAGTTGGACTCTGTTAAAAAGAACCGAAGGAGAGTATAACGTTGTCATCAATTCCATTCCAATTCATAGCAACCCCATAGGACAGAGTCAAACTGCCCCTGTGAGTTTTCCCAGGCTGTAACTCTTTACGGAGTAGAGAGCCCCATCTGTCTCCCAAGAAGCATATGGAATTGAAAAATAATCACAGTAATTCCCAACTCGTTGGGTGAGTTTCTTAAACATGAACAGGACTAACAGATAAACCCAGAATCACAGGGCCTGAGTAGCTCAGAAGGTACGAGTCAACAGAAGGAAATGCTGCCGGGCCCTGCAGCAGCCTCCTCCTGGTGAGGTCTGAACCCCCGGTTGCAGTCACTGTCGATTCCTCGGAGGGGGCCTTTCCTCTCCTTTCCCGAGCATGCTGTCTCTCTCCAGGGACCCACCCAAAGCACAGGAGGTGAAGTCTCACCATCCTTGCCTGTAAGGAGTATCTGGGCTGTACTTCTCCCAAGACGGGTTTGTTTTCTCTTCTGGCAGGCCAGGGTATGGTCAGCATTCTTTCCCAGCACCAGAATTCAAAAGCAGCCATTCTTCTCTGGCCTGCCTTGTTCACTGTGTGGCTTTGGCATACCTGGGTGGTGATTGAAAATACTATGGCCAGGGCCAAGTGCACTTTAGGATGCCTGAACTTGAGGACAGGTTAATAAAGAGAATCTAAACTGAAGGACAGACCGGGAAACCAGGGTTCAAAGAACAGCCTAGGAAACATCCATCGGGGCTCCCAACTTGAATATGGGAAGTTTCAGAAGAGAAGAGGGCGCTCGGGGCCAGAATAAACTGGCAGGAGAACGGATAGAGTGTCATAGATTCCCGCAGCAGAATGCTCGACGGCAGCAAAAAGAACCAACCGGGGACACACACTAACGCTGGTGGCTGTCAACGCCACACGGAGTAAGACAGCCCGGCGAGATGCAGCACACTCTGTGTGCTTCCCTTTGTATGCGGTTTAAGAACAAGCCAAACGGAGCCTGGAGAAAAGGAGTCCCAGCAGTGGGTGGTTATGCCCGGAAGGTCCTGAGAGGAGGGGGTGAGCGGAAGAGCTTGTCCTCATGTATAACCTTGCGTATCTCTGCATAGGCCGTGTCAGCAGGGCTTAGCAGCTGGCTCGAGCCTCAGCTCAAGACACTACAATCCCTCCTGGAAGGAGCGGAGATGAACTGCATGGAGAGGCGCCCCATCCCGCCGTTTATCATCCGGTGCCCTGCCTGGTGGGAGGCTGCTGGAGCGCTGTTTCCCATCCATCTTCCGGCTTGCAGCTGAACACAAGGCTTTGCGCTTCACCTCAGCCCCCTACCTTAGCACGCAGCTGCAGGTCATAAAGCTGCCCGGCTGTAGTTCAGATTCGGATGCTCAGCTGCAGAGGAACCCGCTGCCATGCCTCCTGTCCTAGTCCCTCTGGTCCATTGTCATGCTGTGAGGCTAGAAAGGTGGAGGAGAGCTGGTACCATGCTAATCTTGCTTTAAAATATGAGTCAATGCAATAACTATCTATATACAGGCATATCTATCATCTATCTATCTATTTGATTCATAGGGGACCAATGTGATGGAGGGTTCCCCCAACAGCAATCTTTCCCAGGCAGGTGCCCTGGTCCCATCCTGGTGAAGTGTTGAAAAGTTCCTCCAGTGATTACACAGGAGAAAAGAGCAGCTAATCTGTCCCTTGGAAATCCTGTGGGGTCCCCCTGAGCCTAGATCGATGCGCGAGCACTCCTCCACCACCACCTTACAGAGCACATCTGCATCTGCCCCTCGGAAATCCTGTGGGGTCCCCTGAGCCTGGATCGATGCGCAAGCACTCCTCCACCACCACCTTACAGAGCACATCTGCAGCTCTTTTCTCTCACCGGGTTTGCACTATCAGCCTTGCCATTAGCAGGCAACCGCTTAACCGCTGCACCACCAGGGCTCCTTCAGTGAAACACAGATTTGGGCCAAAGTCCAAGGAAGCCACAGAGGCATGGCTCCCCCAACTAGCGGATGCAGGTGTTAATGCAAGTCATGATGGGTGAGAAGGAATGGCGTTTTGCTCCCTTGCTTAACTATTGACCCCAGCCACTCTGGGCAATGACATGGATGGAAGGAGGGAAAAATAAAGTTCAGTTAGGGTGGCGTGCAGTGGATTCCTGTCCTCTCTAAGTACTCTTTGACAGGGTTGAAGGAGCTGCTGCTTCCTGTTAGCTTACAGTGTCCTCAGGGTGGGTTAGTGGAGAGCATGGACTAACTCATTTCAACTACGTGCCCAGGCTGAAAGGAAATACACTCTTTCCCGAATGGAAGTATTGACAACGGCCAAGAGAATGCTTCACGGGCCAAAGCAGGAGGGAGAAGCCAGCGGTGAAGGCCACAGAAACCTACGAAGCCAAGGGAGGGTTCCTAAAGGAGGCAACTGATGATCGATCTGCCTACAGAGAAATTCCGTCTTGTTATTGGAGATTTGTAAGATTTAAGAAGATTTGGACTATAACAAGGCCAGCTTTGAGGTGTTCTGTGGGAAGACAGGCGGGAAATCAAGAGAGCCTTAACCATCGAGCTGAGGATCATGCTGTTTGGACTGGCATTGACCAGCCACTCAGCACACCCCTGTACTACCCACTTCAAAAACAGGACTAGCAGAAAGGCTGAGATCTTTCCGTCTTTATAGGAGTGCCCACCATCCTGGCTAAACTTACTCTCCTCTCACTGGATTTGGAAATAGCTCTCAAATTGGACAGTGAACTGATGAAACACCTTTGTGGATGGGTGCCTTGTAGTCATGGCTAACACTTCAAATAGGCTATGGGGATAGGATGTGTGACAGTTCTCTGGAGTGTCAAGAAGGAAATGTGATTAT